GACACCGGGTTATCTACTTTCATTATCTCACTTAATCCTCACAACACTCTTGGAAAGATGCTATTATTACCGCGGACAGGAAGCGAGCCTCAGAGCTGTCCTCGTTTGCCCCGGGGCACACAGCTGTCACATGCCAGGTTAGGATTGTTCTGCACCTGAAGCCTGTGTTCTCTGCTTTTCCTGGCTGTCTGGCTGCCACCTCCTGTCCCACAGGCCACCCCATGGCTGATTTATCTATTAGATAAAAAAAAATACTCTCTGGATAATGAAACACAATTAAAAAGGCAAACAAAAATTTTCAGCTATCTCCTGGCACATGGCAATGTTATGAAAAGGGCTAGTTGGATCATAAAGGGCAATATTTACCCTTTTCCTTTGAAAGTGGAATTCCACCTGGAGAAGGCCTAGCTAAGGCACTAAAACTGCAAAGCTCACTGTGGCAATAGGTGCCCAGACTTAGCTTTTTGCTGGGTTAAAAAAATCTGTGTTATCTACTTTCTGATCGCGTCAGAATCTTCTTTACTAGTTCCATATTCCTGAGAGAATTACGTATACATTTCTTCTGATTCTGGCTTTATGCTCTTCTAAGGGGGCTGGTTTCTGAGAACATTATGAAGTAATTTAAGGAAAATTAATTATTGATGAAATAGTTTAGGAGCTCACTGCAAGGGAGACTGCAAAATATAGCCTAGCTGGTTGGATGGACCTCCCACCCCACCTCTCCCTAAAAAACACTACTTTCTTTTACCCCATCTTACCAAGAACACTCTTGATCAAACCCAAAACATACAACTCACATGACTTCTCCCTTGCCTTCACTTTCTATACCCAATCTATCAGAAAGCTTAATGTTCGCATTTCCAAAATGTACTGAGCATCCACCCACTTCTACCCATCTTCACAGGCATCACCCTGATCCTTGTCACTAACCTCTGCCCAGTCCTGCGCCTATGCCTGCCTCCCTCCAGTCCAGTCTCGCTAGCCCTCTCCCACATTCATCACCATCTCACATTATTGTGATAATTTATTCTTTATGTTGTGTCTGTTTCTTCCACTAGGATGGCAGCTCCATGAGGACAGGGGCCCAGTCTGTTTTATTCCTCATGGTACCCCAACTTCTGACACACTGAAGCTTCTCAAGAAATACATATGGAGTAAATGAAAGAGATGTCAATACATAATTTTAAATATTAAGTTATATCTGAAAGTAGCCAACTCAGTAAGTTCTCCTGAGATTGTCTTCCTAGACTGGTGGGACAGGGCGAAAGGACTTTTTATACTTCAGTGATCCTGAAAAGAACATGAAAACAACGTCTTGGGAAGAGTCTGGAGCAGGACTTGTAAGCACAAAGGTATCGGCTCAAGCAGGTAACAGGAATGGGAGGCTGCCTTGCGTAAGCCATGGCGAGTGGTGGGGACCCTCGCAAGCTGGAGAGCTCCCCAGCTTCAGCTAGTGCAGCTTTATCAGCTCCAGCTGACTGTATCTGAGTGGCAACAGGGCCCAGGAATGAAAGATAGTCCATTTTCAAAATAAGATGGAATTTATGTATCAGTTAGAATTAGGTTTAGCTGTAATAAGGCAGCTTAAATGAGGTAAAAGTGTATTTCTCTCTTTCAAAAAGAGGTCCAGGATGTGCTATCTTGGGCTCATAGAGACTCAGTAGAATCAGGGACCCAGGCTTCTAACTTGTTTCTCAGTGTGACATGTCTTCCATTCCCAAGGTCACCTCATGACCTACTGAGCTGCTGTGGCTCCAGCCATTACCTCCTCATTCCAGGAAGTGGGAAGGAAAAAGGGGAAAGAAAGGCCTGATCATTCTCTTATGAGGAGACTTCCCAGAAGTTTCCATGGCCCACTCATTTCATTTCATTGGCCAGAACTTAGTTATGTAGCTACTCCTAGCTGCAGAGGAAGCTGGGAAGTGTAATCTTTATTCAAAGGGGACATGTGCCCAGATAAGGAAGAAGGGGAAAATGGATATTGGAGTTCTAAACTAGGAGTCTCTGCCAGAGCAGGCTTTTTCTGTAAAATTCTCTAGTTTTAACACTACGATAGCCAAATAAAGCATGTCCGCCATCTGGTGTAGCAGAGTTGACGGTTTTGTGAATCATGTTTGCAGGAGCAAATTTAGATGGGATTCATTTCTGCAGCATGTGGGCAGCCAGTGAGGGTCATCAACAGGTGAAGTTTAGCAGGGCTTAGGAAGGGCAAACAGAAGCATGGTCGGGGACCCTGGGAGGTAGGGGTGAGCAGCAGGAAAGGGTGAGGATACAGTCCTTTACCTGCACAGCCAAGGAGTGCTTGGGGTGGGTCCCTGGCTGCCATGGCTTCCCTCACCTTTAAGTCTTAGTAACAATTCTGAGGGTGCAAATTCAATCTCCTTTGAATTGTGCGGAAGTCTCTCTTCTTTCTGACCTTCACCAAAGGTGCCCTGTAGGCCAGAGTCACTGCTCTGGGGGGATAAGGGAGCCTGAGCCAGACCAAACCCCACAAGAGTTCACTAGCCCTCTGTAGTTACTGCCACCACCCTCTTAGACTGGGGCTCAGTGTTGTGTCAGGCTCTATGACCCCCCACCCCTAGGTGGCTGAGTCTCCCAGCCATGCTAGACCTTGTTGCCCAGGAAAGGTGCCATGTTATATGGTGGGAAAAGCACTGGATTTGTAGACCACTTTCCTCATGTGAATCACTGCTCCATCACTAACAGGTTGAGTGGACCATACGTAACTATAACTTGGCGCTAATGGTTTTCTCCTTACTTACTTCACAAGGTTCTTTGGAGGATTCATAGGGATCCTTATGTGAAAGGTCTTTGCTTAAAAGAGAGAGAGAAAAAATCTAAGCAGCTCTAGATACAAATATAAGGTCCCAGCAAAGACTCTTTGTAACTGTCCGTATGTTTGAAATTGATGACTTTATTGACACAAACTTTGCAATAGAAAGTGTTATGCTAATAGAATAGTAATAATCAGTTCCTATATTACATACACATGAAAAAATCGCCAAATTTCGATTAACATCGTTTAATTTCTGGTCACTGTCTTGGTGAAATCGAAACTGTTCTGCAGAGGGGCAGATCATGTATGCCCTTCATTGCCTGATCCCCCAGAAGTAAGAAGCTGTTTCTATATGAAACAGAGACGCCCTCTCAGGTTGGTAAATCCCAAACATGTAGCAGCTAAGTGATGAAAACCAGGATGTGAAGAGAAAGTAGGCTTGGGCTGTGGCTGCCAGCAGGGACTGTGAAGGAACGCCCTACGCACAAAACAGCGCACGTGCCCTGGGAGAGTGAGCCCTTGAACTTGCGGGAGCAACGCCAACCTTGGGCAGTTGGGGGCTCCTGCTGAGTAATGCCAGTGGGGACATAGGAGTCACAGGTTTTGCTTTTATTGTATTATTATTATTATTTAAAATTTCAAAACATGAATTTGCTAAAAAGCCCTTTCTCAAGGAATCAGAAAAGGATAGCGATTTGGGAAAACTAGCTTTGAGTATGGTAAAAGTCTTGTGCAGTGGTTAGGACACCCAGAGTTTAAGACAGAAACCTGTCCTGAATATAAAAGTGAGATCACACTGCAGGGCAAGTCACAATACATCAGACCTCAGTGTCCCAGTCAGTCTCCCGGTTATTAAGTCCACTGTCAGATTCAGGACATACAGTGGGGACTGGCCTGGCTCCAACTCTCTTAGCATCTGCAGTACCTGACACAGGGTTGTCATTTAATGTTTAATGAATAAATATACAATCTACTGAAGGAAAGAAGGAAGAGAGGAAGGAAGGGAAAGAGGGAGGGGGGTGGGAGGAAGAAAGGGGCACTGCCTACTTGTGTTTGAGGAATAACGAAGTTGGCAGGTAAGGAGACTGAATATCTCTGGATTCTAACCGATTCTGATCTGTTCTCTACACTGTTATATAAGCACACGTGCTGCCTGTTTCTGCTACCCATGGAGTGTATTGGTATCATTTCGTACAACTTTAGTCCTACCTTTCCCAAGCCCACACTACATGACTTTGGAGGAAAATACTTCCTTCCACCTTACCATGTTTTAAAAAATGCTAGAAAATTTCATTCCTATAAAAACACTTTCTTTTTGCTGCCTCAGCTAGCTGATTTCTAACATAGAACATGTCAATCTAATGTCAGTGTGATTGAACGTCCATCTGGTGCAGTACTGGCTTTCGAAAGCGAATCCTTTGCAGACATATAATCCCGGGGCTGTGTACAGAGAGGGTAAGGGAAGCTGTGTGTGCAGCCAGCGTGTTCTGGATTATCTCCCTCTCATGAGCAGTGTCTACTCTTTGAATAACAATTGCAAATGACCTGATTGAGAGAGAAACACTCAAGAACACAAGCAAAGGGAACTGGGAAGCTGTGAAAAATGCAATGTCTGGCCTGACCGGTTTGGTTCAGCGGTTAGAGCATCAGCCCGCGGTCCAGAGAGACCCGGGTTCGGTTCCCGCTAGGGGCGTGTGCCTCGGTTGCAGTTTGTCCCCGGCCCTGGTTGGGTCGTGCGGGTGGCAGCCACTCGATGTGTCCATTTCACATAGATGTTTCTCTCTCTCTCTTCCTTTCTCTCCCTCCTGCTGTCTGAAAAAAAATGTCCTCGGGTAAGGATAAAAAACGAAAAAGAAAAATGCAATGTCTGGCTGAGCCCTCAGGGGCGTCCTTGGTTGGATGCGTTGACCACAACCACTGTGATATTATAGTTCAAAGTCTGACATGGACACCTGCATGGGGAGGGGGAGGCATTGAAGGAGCTGAGAAATGGGTGTAATTGCATCATAGAGACCTCCCAAAGACACGCCATGGGTGTTGGTGGGGTTAGTTTGAACTCAGTAAACAAGGATAAGAGGGAATTTTCCTGTTTCTTGATTTCTCATATATCTGGGCTTAAAGTTGGGTGAGAGCCAACTTTTACGTGAACACAGTGAGCTTTGTGATGGTGGCATTGAAAAAGAAAGAATGAAAGAACTAGCTTTCTACCTACCTTGGCCAGGAGAGCGTGGAGCTGATGTGTGACCCTCTCATTCCCGGAATCCACCCCTTCTATTTCCTCTGCTTCATAAATGGCCTGTGGCTTTAGCTCAGCACTTCTAAATCAGACCTAAGTGCAGGTGCTGCAAACTAGCAAACCTAACTGCTCATTTGCAATTTATTACCATGTGTGAGTACTGCCAATTCATTTACGTGAATAACAGGAGGCTGAGAATGTCCCAACAGCTCAGGCAGCTGTCGGCTGCCAGGTAAGACAGTCCCTCAAGGCACTCAGCAGTGGTCACGTTCAGCAGGGGGCACCCACTTCTTCAAGGTTCCTTGGTGGGATTGGTATGTGATGGGCACCAGAGAAGTCCATCTGCCCTTCTAGTTAGACACTCTGCTAGTTGATGCAGTTCTTTGTGATTCTTCGACTTCTGTCCACCTGCCGGATGCTGTCTGCAACATTAATGGTGACTTCTTTTGCAGGCATTCGCTTAGCATCTCTTTTAGTCTGTTAAAAAGTGTAACAGAGTGAATTGAGTTACTAGGAGATATTCAAAGGTCCTCACATTTGCATTAGTCTCCTGAGACTGTTACACATGCGGACACCTGCGCACACACAGAGGCAGGAAGAGTGACCCACAAGAACACATGACATGTGCTCCTTTCCATAGGCTTCTCTGCGGGATTGCTAACACCACAGAGCCCAGCACAGAGCCTGGTCTGAGGCATGCTCAGTAAAACGCTGTCCCAGGAAGAATGAATAGCTAAGGTCCATTAACCGTAACATGAAAGGTTTCACAGCTGGTTTTAGTAGAGTAGTGAAGGGTTTGAGCTTTGGAGTTAGACACTTTGGCTTAAATACTGGCTATGTAATTTCACTATGGGCAAGTTTTTCTAACCTCTCTAACCTTTAGTTTCCTCATCTGTAAAATGGGAATAATAACAGTACTTTCCTCATAAGGTTATTTTAAGTATTAAATAAGGTAATGCATGTAAGGTACTTAGTGCAATGCCTGTCACTAAATAAAAATAGAAGAAAAAAAGACTTAGTAAGTATAAAAAGTTAAAAAATGGGGTAGCATATCTACTTCTAAGTGAAGATACACCAAGGATAAAATTCCAGAATTCATATTAAATACTAAAGTATTGACTAAACTGCAGCTTCTTCAACCATATGTGCCTAACCTCCGACCCCCACCCCCACCCCCACCCCCACCCCCAGGAGGAAACAACTTTAGTGACGGCAATTCTGTGCCCATTCCACTCAAGGACCACATGCTTGGAGTGAGCATGAGATGTGCCCCGTGAGTCGTCTCCATCGTGGTGGACAGAGAGGTGCCACCAACCTCATTTCAGGAAGGACCTGCTGCCCAGCTGCAGGGAGTGCCCTCAGCTCCAGAGAGCCACCTCGCCCAGGGCCTTGCTCTTCCCGAGGTGGCCCAATGAAGGGGATAAATGCAGGGATACAAAAGCCTGGTTATTTAGCCCAAAGCAGACCAGCTCTGACAGGCCATCTCTCTTCAGAGCCCTGTATGGAGTGTGGTCGCTGAGGCTGTTGTCAGGCCTGCACTGTGGCTCAGCTTCTCCCTCTGCCCGATCTTGCTCCAGCCCTTCCTCCCCTAGGTGTCGACAGGCACGTCCCAATGAACATCCTGTCTAAGGACAGCTCAGAGTCTGCTTCCTGGGAAACACTGTCCATCTCAACCTGCAGGAGCCTCTCCCAAGGCATGAGCATCTCCCCTGCTGGGTGTGAGTTTGCTGATGATAGATGCATAGTTTTATACAAGACACCCCCAAATCAAGGCAACTACTTTAGCTGCCATGCATCAGAAGAAATGGGCTGTTGCACCACTGGAGAAAAAGAAATTGCTCTGTTGCCTTATTAACAGATCACATGTGGGTTTTTACCAGGCCACACACACCGTGCGTAGTAGCTGCTGGTGATGCCCCTCTCAGATTTCCTTTACTTGGCTAGAACGTCCACCCCCCAGCTGCTGTGAGTTTCGGCTGCTAAATGCTCACAGCTGCCCCCTCTTTTGAGAATTGCCTTCATTTGATTCGAGCCACTTCGCCAGCGATGTCTAAGAGTTTACACCCTAATTCCTGCAGACAGCCGAAAGCCAATGTCTGATTGTAGGGGACACAAAAGGCTGGCCCTTTTGCCTCAAGGGGGTATACATCTAGTGGGATCAGGCTAAGGCTACACTACTGCTGAACGAGGTCCTCAGCCTGGCCCTGCTTCCCCCACTCCTTAGGGGTTTCACCTGAGACCCCTTCAGTCACTCCCTTGCATGAGAATCCTGACTGAAGGCTCTGCTTCTAAGGAAGCAGACCCAAGGTAATACAGTACTTTAGAGGTGATTTGAGGGATATTTAAGGCTAATTTTGATTATATGCAATGTTAGTCTTATTTATTTACTGCATGAGATAGGATTTCATTGTTTTCCTCCTCGTGGTCCCAGTGCCTAGCACGTCTGAGACACAGTAGGCTCTCAATTTAACTTTGGCTGAATGAATGGAGGAGGGACGCACACGCACACCACATTGGCCCACATACCCTCGCTTTCACACCCCGTAGTCACCCCCGTCTACGGATCCAGCTCTTTCCAGCGTACACTCCGCTCTTTCCAGCCTGAACGGGCACCAGGGCTAGCAGTGATGTCTATGGGTTCATTGTTTCCCAAAGGCAGAGAACTCATAAAGTCCCACAACCACATTTGTTTCCTAAAGAAAAGTGTGGCAATTATGAGGCTAATTCCGTCTGATTTCAGGTGTTCTTGTATAAAAGCTTTGAGGGCTGGGGGTGAAATAGAGACACAGAGGCCTTATTGACACGAGCCAGGTCGGCGGCAGCATTCCTCGAACCGGTGGGCAGTAAGACAGCTTTCCAGATGCAAATGGAAACTTTCCGAACGGCTTAACTGCTTTCCTTAGAGTTGCTGGCAAGATTTCACAAACGGTTATTCAAGATTACACACAGAAAATGTTCTGCCCTATATGTCAGTCTGTTTTTCTAAGCTTAAAAATCTAAGTAAATATTCAGTAGTGGGTTGATCCTTAATTTCCCAACCTGTTAAGTAAAGAGTCAAAGGCTACAAAACAGTCATTCCCAGAACAGCCACAGAATATGTATGGACAAGGGGGCGTCTCCTAAGTCTGTAAACCAGAAGCCTGCACAAGGGAGCTGTTCAGAGGACAAGCTTCTGAAACCAGACAGACCTGGATTCAGTGCCAGGCTTTACCACACACTCCTTCGCTGTCACAAGACCGCTGCTTTAACCTCTGAACCTCAGTCCCCTTCCCTGAAACTGGGGAATCAATGCTTCTTCGGTTTTTCTGAGAGAATCGAGCACGTCAGGCAGCATTAGTAGGGTGACCAACTTCTCCCGGTTTGCCTAAGACTGACCTGTTTTAAAACTCAAAGTCCCAGGCCCTGGCCAGGTGGCTCAGTGGTTGGAGCATCTTTCTGTACACCAAAAGTTGTGGGTTCGACTCCCAGTCAAGGCACACACCTAGGTTGCAGGTTTCATCCCCAGTCAAAGCATATATGGGAGGCAACCAATCAGTATTTCTCTCTCACATCAATGTTTCTCTCTCTCTCCTTTCCTCTCTGTCTGAAAATCAATAATAATATATCCTTGGGTGAGGATAAAAAACTGACAGTGCCACATTCTGGGAGCTTCCCCAGGACAGTTAATCACCCCAACGATAGCCATCAACGTTAATGCTACTCACAAAATGATGTCAGTCAAACATGCCAAATTTACATAGAACTCTAATTCTTCTGAAACTATGACTATTGCTATGACTACTTTTAAATAACATTAATAGCCCTGGCCCGTTTGGCTCAGCGGTTACAGCATCAGCCCGCAGACGGGAGAGTCCCGGGTTCAGTTCCCGCTAGGGGCACGTACCTTGGTTATGGTTTGTCCCCGGCCCTGGTTGGGGTCATGTGGGTGGCCACCACTCGATATGTCTCTCTCACATCAATGTTTCTCTCTCTTCCTCCCTCTCTCCCTCCTGCTCTATCTGAAGATACATGCAAAAAATATCCTCGGGTGAGGATTAAAAAAAAAAAATTAAATAACAGTAACTCTAAGGCATGCACTTGGATAAAGGACAAACCGGAGTTCTGTCTTCCAATGATGGGCACAGAAGCTTTCATGCCACAAGCAAACCCATTTTCAAATAATTACACTGTGTTACACTTAGAAAATTAAACAATTGGAACAACAATGCATTTTCTTGGAAGCATTTTATAAAAGAGAAGCTTTCAAGTCTGAGGCATCTCCACCCCTTTTATGGCAGCTCCAATATTCAGGGGTCAGTCGTCACTGCAATTTAGTTACAACTTGGAAACCTCAGGTTTTCCGACCAAATGAGAGGGAGAAAGAACAGGAAAAGAACTACAATGCCAGAGGACGTTCTCTAGAAGTTCTGCGAAGTTGCTTTGTCCTCCTGTGAGAAGAGATATAAATACACGAAACAGTTACTCCATTTTGTGCCTCAGGGTTTTGTATAACATAGATGTTCTCTCTGGCGTGGTTTTCAACCAGCCCAAGCTTTTTATTTAACATCTCACCCTCTTTATTTAATGACAGGAAAGAAAAGTGTGTCCTTCTTGAAATTACTGGCTTAAACAAAAAAAAAAGCTTATGGTTCCCAACTCAATGATGACAGAAGCCTATTTGGCACCTTTAGTTTTTTTGGCTGCCTGCTAATTCAATCCTTCTTCCACTTCTAAAATTCTTGTTTTGTGAGTTTTAGCACCACTGACTCTTGTTAATGGGCCACCTCTTGTTTCTCACCCAGTTTTACAGCTTTTCAATTCTTCCCTTGCCTCATTTTAATGTCTGCAGCTTTAGTGCTCTGTGAATCATCGATTTCAGTCCTCTTAATACTGCCTTTTTAATTAAAAGTAATTCATTGGCTGTTATTTCTCAAGGGTAACCAGATTGACTGTGATAACTTCCTGACAGCCTCAAACCCAGACGGACTTGTTTCTCCTGAGGTTTCAAGTCAGTGCCCCAGTTCATTGCGGGTGAAAGTGGGGACAGGCTGGCTGCTCCGGGGAGGCCTGGGCTCAGAGTGCGTGTAAGTCTGCTCAGCCTTTTCTCACTTTCCCCCTGTGAAAACAGGGGTGTTCGTAGCTGAATTTTTTTTTTTTAATCCTCACCCGAGGACATTTTTCCATATTTTGTTCAGATAGAGTGGGAGGGGTAGAGAGAGAGAGAAACATCGACATGAAAGGGACACATCGAGTGGTTGCCACCCGCACAACCCAACCTGGGCAGGGGACAAACTGCAACCGAGGTACATGCCCTTAGCGGGAGCGAACCCCAGTCTCTCTGGACCGCAGGCCGACGCTCTAACTGCTGAGCCAAACCGGCCAGGGCTCTTAGCTGAATTTTGACTCCACAAATATATCTCTACCTAATGTAGTATGACCCTTTTTGCAGTTCTTTGCAGACAATGAAGAAAAAAAGGCTAACTAGGATTGTGATTTAT